ATAGCTAGCACAATATATTTGTTTTAAGTGAAACTGTCAAGATAAAAAAATAAGCCAAATTTTTAACTCACTTTCTGTAATCATTTCAATGTTATCTTTGCATTCAAAGTCAATTATAGAAACCCGTGAAGATCCGGGTTAGAATGAACCTTCAGTAACCCATGCTTGTCGTAAGAGGCGACTAACGGGATCGGGTGGTCAGACTCGCTGACTTGGTTGACACATGTCATCGGTTCCCAATTGTGCAGATTGATACTCATGCTGTTGATCACTGGATTGTCAGGTCGAGACTCGATTATTTACAGATCGCCGCCATATAGCTGGAATATTGCTGAGTGCGGCGTAAAACTAAACTCAATCAATTAATCAATTTTAGAAATCGCACCTACAGACCTTGCACAAAATGTATTGTATTTCTTTTGCCTATATGTTTCCTATGAAAATGGTTTGCTGCCATTGGTCCCCCTTTCCTTGGGTGGATCCCCTACCTGGTGATATCCAACAGATGACCATTACCAAGATGGACACAGCAGCAGGTTGTCCTGAATCTCCAGGATTCCTGTGTCTGACATTCTTCTTGAGACTCTCTTGATCCCCGACCATTACAGTCTGCCGAGGTTCTCACAGTCCCTGAACCACATTAATTTCCCTAGAGCCAAGCCCTCCCTCAGTGCTAAAGCCCTAAATGAAGCAAGTCTAGATTTCTCCAGGTTCTGAATCTGTGGTCTCCTTGGGGCTCCTTTCAATTTAAATGGGTTTATTTGTTACAATCAAAATTATACATATTCAGACACTAAGCGTTAGTCTACAGTCTGCCTGGCACCACAGATTACAGACAATTGCCTTGAGACTCAACTATCTCCATTGTACATATGGTGAAGGCATCAGTACTCAACACCCACATGCAGAAATACTTTCAAATCCATGGACATGTTATCCATAAACCCATGCTAACATGGTCACAAGTCACAAAATATGGTTGCTGTTGGCGACACGTGGCAAGGAAACATGCATACTATACACATCACGTTTTTCCTGTATACTTACTGAAAATCCTAGACTAACAACTAGTCTCTGAAATGGACATATTTTACAGAAAAACAACTTTTCATAATAATAAAAAATAAAATATAATGAAAAGGAGCCCGGAAATCTAGACTTGCCACATAATCTAGACTTGGGCTTTCTTGTATATGTTTGTTTCAGGGTCTGTATGACAGACTATGAAAATCCCTTTGCTCTGCAACTTGAGTCCAGGAAAACAGATCAGAATCATCTCAAGAGTCATTAAAGTGTCATGTGGAGGTTTTATGATGAGGAAATCATCAAGGAGCTATATAACTTGTGAGGATGATAAGAAAGGATTGTAAGTGCAAACAAATGCACTTTTATAATCACTATAAAGCCTTGGTGAGATGTTTGGTTATGTAAACGTCTGGTTGAGAGGACTGTTTATCTACAGAAGAGACGATCTAAACTGATTAAGACTCCTTAACATCTGTGCTGTACCTTTATCACTTTCGAATGTTCCTACTCCACTGAGATTATATGAAGCATATGATAAGCTGATTCCTGCTGTTTACCTGAAATTTCATTACTTCCATGGCCTTGATAATGGTTAATGAGTGGTATAGTGGGTTTATTGTTTAACAGTGCACTTGGCAATATAAGTCCTGCAAGACGGCAACATCTACATAATTACCTGTGGACTAGACAATCCAATGACTGATAGTGTGAACAATGGTCCATGTTATCAGGGTATTCTGACAGCCACTCACAACATCAGAGAGTCTGACTCCGCTCCATCAATACAGATAAAGTCATATGAGGTGAGGTGAAATGGGGTTTAACGTTGCACTTAAGAATATTTCGCTCATATGATGACGTGATGTATGTGTATGTGTGGCTGCTTGTACTAGCCCAGACTTAAGCTGGTTTTATAGTGCTAGCTCACTGAGATACCATGCTGCAGTGAAGCATGAATACCCCACTCAGACACATTATACTGACTCCGAGCCGACCAGTCCTTGTTGTACACATTAATGCTGAGCGCCAGGCAAGGACCAACAAGTACCATATTTTAACATCTTTTAGTATGACGTGGACGAGGATCAAACCAGCGACCTTCCATTCTCCGGGTGGACGCTCTAACCACTACACCACGGGGGCGGTCTTAAGTCATATGATGCATGTTTAATCATAATTCACATCTCTTCTTACTTAATAAAGTAATTCAGTTATTTAGGTCACAGCCACTTAATACAAATGCCATATGTACAGAGTTATGTCCCTTAGCGATGCCATGATATGCTGATCATGGCTTCAAAACAGTGATTCACTATGGTTACGGTAGCGCCATTCCAATGTTAGAAAACACCTTAAACATGGGTAGAGTGCTGACAGATCAAAGATCATGCCATCAGGGAAATTCTGGGATTCAAACCCTCATTTAGCAAATCCTGGTGTGGCTAAGGGAGGCAACTAAGCATGGTAGATTGATTCTGTAATTGTCAACTAGAAACCAACTCATCCTAACAGAATGCAATTAGCCCTCTTTCACAAGGTGATGGTAAACCTATCCAAGCCAGGTTATCCTGTGTTGAACAACATGACTGACTGACTGAGTTTGGTTTTACGCCGCTTTTAGCAATATTCCAGCAACATCACGGCGGGGGACACCAGAAATAGGCTTCACACATTGTACCCATGTGGGGATTCGAACCCAGGTCTTCGGCGTGACGAGCCACTTTAACCACAAGCCTACCCCACCGGCCCTGAACAACATGAGGTAAGGTGGGGTTTAACATTGTCTTCAACTGTTTGTCTGCTGTTTAATGCCACACTCAGCAAGATTCCAGCAGTATAGCAGCAGTCTACACCTGAATCTGGAGCAGACAATCCAGTGATCAACAGCATGAGCATGGATCTACACAATTGGGATACAATGACATGTGTCAACCACATGTCAACCAAGTCAGTGAGCCTGACCACCCGATCCTGTTAGTCGCCTCTTATGACAAGCATGGGTTGCTGGAGACCAATTAAACCTGTATCATCATGGGTAACATTGTCTTCCAGATTACACTTGCATCACATCAGACACTGTGGCTACTGACCTGTATTGGCATTCTTTGAACATATTCTATGAAATAAACATGATACTGACCTAACACCTATAGAGCTGTTATAATGGTCAGTTGCAAGTCATGAGTGCCATACGAACTTCCATAGAAAAATACATAATTATTTTCTTTGTAAAACCAAACAAAATCCATAAATTTAATCATAAAATCCTCTTAACAAGGTAAAAAGGCTCATTTCCACAGCTGCCTCGAACACTGACCCAGGTCATTACCTATTAATGGAAACAACTTGACAAGGCACCAAGCACGATATATAGGTCAGTATTATTAGGCCGAGCCAATATTTGTCCAATTACTATATTGGGACCTCATCAAAGAAGGGTCATGTTCGTATTCGGAAATAGCAAATGCTAGGTGGGTATTCTGTTACAAGGTAATCACCAGGACATGATATTGGGCTAATTATCGATAATTCAACACAGAAGCTTCCAATTAGTCGCTCCACTCATTATTGGGAATTCTCTTTAGGTACAATGGATCCATATTGGTACATACCTCATCACCTTGGCAACGTCATCTCTGACAATTACAGCTGGGTAGAGAGTTTACTTACTTGACCCTTGTTATATAAAAACCTGTCAATATGGTTTTAAGAAGAAAATAATTACATCTTTTTTCTGTAGACGTTTGTATGCAATCATGACATGTACATGGGGTTTTATTTTTGAAAATATAAAAATATATCTCAGAAAATGTTTGCAAATTACACTTATGACCATTTAAAAAATATACTGCCACCAAAATACATTGTTACATGGTAAATTTTAGACTAAACATATTTCAACCCAGTTTTAATTAAAAACATCCAAGAAAAATCAAAGAAGCAGAAAGCGTCACTCTGGTGTTATTCCACAGCATGCTTGTGTTTTGCAGAATGAGAGTTACAGTTCGTTATCTGGTTAATGGTGAGTGAGTTTAGTTTTACGCCACTTTTAGCAATATTTCAGCAACATCACGGTGGGGGACACCAGAAATATGCTTCACACATTGTACCCATGTGGGGAATCAAACCCGGGTCTTCAGCGTAACGAGCGAACGCTTTAACCACTAGGTTACACCACTGCCCTTTATCTGGTTAATGGTCTGTCATTATGCTTCAGTGCTGGGGTGTGTGAAGCTCATTTCTGGTGTCCCCGCCATGATATTGCTGGAATATTGCTAAAAGCGTAAAATCAAACTCACTCACTCACTCACTCACTCAGTGCTGGGGATCCCTGCTCACCACATTAACCACCAGTTTATCAGACCCACATCTGTTTTTTCAAGGTCACTGCATCATCCTAGGATCCCTGGTGTGACCTTTTTCAACATCACTGTTATAAACTTGAATATTTGTAACTGGGTCATAAAACAACATTCACCCTCTGTCTCTAAGTAAGAATGACTTGAAACTGCATCTTAAACATTCACAGAGCCAGCTTACGGATCCATGAAACATGAAAGTAGTATCACATCGCCATGACAAATATTCAATATGATGAGTATTTCACTCATCATCCAAAGATGAGAAATTTAGTCCTCTCCCTCACGTCTTGTAATCCAATAACATCATCTGTCTGTAATAGTGTTATTGGATTATTCTCAGGAAGACTTCAAAGATATTGATTAAATCTCTTTAATGCAGAAACTGATCTCAACTTCCTTAAGTTCTCATCCAAGAGAAATGGCTTGATTCTGCTGCGTCAGCATTTCTATAGGTCATGCTCGGACCTACATCGTAGTGTAGAGTGGACTACAGCTGTAGCATTGAGATAGATAAAAACACTATGTAATACTAATGTTATACTAATCAGGGCTCGATTTAGTGCTTTGATACTTGCACTTGTGCAACCTAATATTACAAAGTGCAACCTTGTTACTAGTCTAACTTGCACCAGGTGCAAGTCAATTTTGAGTGGGTAAACCTCTGAATAAAACATCTAAAAAATTTCATAGCATATTTATTTCATTACATATTCCAATAAAAGCAGTGCAACTGGAATTGGGCAGGTGCAAGTAGGTTTTATCTCAGGTTGCACCGAGTGCAAGTAAGTTAACATGTCTTAAATCGAGCCCTGCTAATGCAGTATTGCTACTGTTGTAATTTACAAAGAGGTGATGCCATATTATTATTTATCCAGTTTTAACTTGATATGATATCAAATTATAAATCAAGTTTAAAGTAAAGATGTAAATTTTGTGATCCTTAGCAAAGAAGTGTGAGTAGTATAGCATAAATGTAACATTGGTGCTATAACAATACTATTACTGTAATATTGGTACTAATGTAATACTCCTGTAATATTGGCACTAATGTAATACAACTGTAATATTGGTACTATTGTAATACTACTGTAATATTGGTACTAATGTAATACAACTGTAATATTGGTACTATTGTAATACAACTGTAATATTGGTACTATTGTAATACTACTGTAACATTGGTACTAATGTAATACAACTGTAATATTGGTACTAATGTAATACTACTCTAATATTGGTACTAATGTAATACAACTGTAATATTGGTACTAATGTAATACAACTGTAATATTGGTACTATTGTAATACTACTCTAATATTGGTACTAATGTAATACAACTGTAATATTGGTACTATTGTAATACTACTCTAATATTGGTACTAATGTAATACAACTGTAATATTGGTACTAATGTAATACAACTGTAATATTGGTACTATTGTAATACAACTGTAATATTGGTACTAATGTAATACAACTGTAATATTGGTACTATTGTAATACAACTGTAATATTGGTACTAATGTAATACAACTGTAATATTGGTACTATTGTAATACAACTGTAATATTGGTACTATTGTACTACAACTGTAATATTGGTACTAATGTAATACAACTGTAATATTGGTACTATTGTAATACAACTGTAATATTGGTACTAATGTAATACTACTGTAATATTGGTACTAATGTAATACTACTGTAATATTGGTACTAATGTAATACTACTGTAATATTGGTACTAATGTAATACAACTGTAATATTGGTACTATTGTAATACAACTGTAATATTGATACTAATGTAATACTACTGTAATATTGGTACTAATGTAATACAACTGTAATATTGGTACTATTGTAATACTACTGTAATATTGGTACTAATGTAATACAGCTGTAATATTGGTACTAATGTAATACTACTGTAATATTGGTACTAATGTAATACAACTGTAATATTGGTACTATTGTAATACAACTGTAATATTGGTACTAATGTAATACAACTGCAATATTGGTACTAATGTAATACTACTGTAATATTGGTACTAATGTAATACAACTGTAATATTGGTACTAATGTAATACAACTGTAATATTGGTACTATTGTAATACAACTGTAATATTGGTACTAATGTAATACAACTGTAATATTGGTACTATTGTAATACAACTGTAATATTGGTACTAATGTAATACTACTGTAATATTGGTACTATTGTAATACAACTGTAATATTGGTACTATTGTAATACAACTGTAATATTGGTACTATTGTAATACAACTGTAATATTGGTACTAATGTAATACAACTGTAATATTGGTACTATTGTAATACAACTGTAATATTGGTACTATTGTAATATAAACTGTAATATTGGTACTAATGTAATACAACTGTAATATTGGTACTAATGTAATACAACTGTAATATTGGTACTAAACATATTTCAACCCAGTTTTATTTAAAAACATCCAAGAAAAATCAAAGAAGCAGAAAGCGTCACTCTGGTGTTATTCCACAGCATGCTTGTGTTTTGCAGAATGAGAGTTACAGTTCGTTATCTGGTTAATGGTGAGTGAGTTTAGTTTTACGCCACTTTTAGCAATATTTCAGCAACATCACGGTGAGTGGACACCAGAAATATGCTTCACACATTGTACCCATGTGGGGAATCAAACCCGGGTCTTCAGCGTAACGAGCGAACGCTTTAACCACTAGGCTACACCACTGCCCTTTATCTGGTTAATGGTCTGTCATTATGCTTCAGTGCTGGGGATCCCAGCTCATCACATTATCAGGCCTACCAAAGAAAACTTCCCCACTGTGCAGAAAAACGCAGAAAAGCCCACATTAATCGTGGAAATAGCAACATAAACATCATACCTCGCTACTGAAACAGTGAAAACGGCAACTTTAAATCGCTAACACTGCATCATAAAACGAGGAGCCCGCAACTTCGATTTTGCGCATGCGCACATGGATTAGGAAATCTCGACCGCATGTTGACATTTTCCAGCTTGGACAAAAGTTACATTCCTTTTTAAGTATTTCTGTTGTGTTGTTTGGCATTTATCATCATGATACTTGTGTGCACACTTGTTTAGTTTACTTTCCATTCGTATGAAATGATTGACAGCAATTATTTCGACATATTTAATACTTTTCTCTGCGCGAGGCGATTCACGGTTGCACTGAAATTGGAAAGACGCCCTCATCGTAATGCGCATGCGCAGTAGAGGTCAAAGTTTGCTGATATAAAAATGTTGCAGTTTCATAGTTTTTCGTTGCCGTTTTTACTGTTTCAGTAGCGAGGTAATGTGTTTATGTTGCTATTTCCACGATTAATGTGGGTTTTTCTGCGTTTTTCTGCACAGTGGGAACGTTTTCTTTGGTAGGCCTGATTAACAACCAGTTTATCAGACCCACATCTGTTTTTTCAAGGTCACTGCATCATCCTAGGATCCCTGGTGTGACCTTTTCAACAACTGTGATAAACTTGAATATTTGTAACTGGGTCATAAAACAACATTCACCCTCTCTAAGTAAGAATGACTTGAAACTGCATCTTAAACATTCACAGAACCAGCTTACGGATCCATGAAACATGAAAGTAGTATCATATCGCCATGACAAATATTCAATATGATGAGTATTTCACTCATCATCCAAAGATGAGAAATTTAGTCCTCTCCCCTCGCGTCTTGTAATCCAATAACATCATCTGTCTGTAATAGTGTTATCGGATTATTCTCAGGGAGACTTCAAAGATATTGATTAAATCTCTTTAATGCAGAAACTGATCTCAACTTCCTTAAGTTCTCATCCAAGAAAAATGGCTTGATTCTGCTGCATCAGCATTTCTATAGGTCATGCTCGGACCTACATCGTAGTGTAGAGTTGACTACAGCTGTAGCATTGAGATAGATAAAACACTATGTAATACTAATGTTATACTAATGCAGTATTGCTACTGTTGTAATTTACTATTCACACTTTGCTAAGGATCAAATCATGGATTCAAAAGAAAACTATGATGTGGGGTCAAATTTGGTTTAAATATCTAATCTTATTGTAAGCATGGATCCTAGGTTTCAGTATGTCACTGCATCTTGTGGATCCCATACCTGCTACTGACAGGTGTTGTGTACTTGTCAATGACTCATTCCATGATTTGCAAAATGGTTGATTGGTGCCATGAAAACCATTTTTATGGTCACTCATATATCAAGTGCATAAGGTTAGATTACAGTGGTTGTTTAGCTAACGAGGTGTTGCCATATTATTATTTATCCAGTTTTAACTGGATATGATATCAAATTATAAATCTACGTTTAAGTAAAGATGTGAATTTTTGTGATCCTTCGCAAAGTGTGAGCAGTATAGTATAAATGTAACATTGGTGCTATAACAATACTATTACTGTAATATTGGTACTAATTGTAATGCTACTGTAAAACCAGTACTATCATACTACTGACATTCTTAGAACATATTCAATGAAATATACATGATATTGACTTTATAAGCACCTTTGAGAGCTGTTATGGTCATTTACAAGTCATGAGTGCCATACAAACTTTTTGAAACACTCTGATTTTTTCAGGATCAAGCAGGAACCTATATCTATGAGGAGGGCTTACATACAGTCATATACGGTAGTTCATATCATGCTTGATAGCACAGTGATGTAATGGAGAGACTGGCTGTCTAGAGAGTGGAAGGTCAGTGGTCCAATCAAATGGAGGCATCACACTGCACATTAAAAGGTGGTACTTGATGTTTCCCTGCCTAATGATCAGCATCAAGGGGATAAAACATGGCCTAGTTCACTGGGTTGATACCATGTCTCAATAGGATACCCATGTCAAGCAAAACAAGAAAAAAGACATCGATAATAAAATAATAATCTAAATTTAAACATTTTTAATGAAACCAAAATAATATTTGACTGATTTGCCAGTGAAAATGAATGAATACAGGTTCGACACACAAACATGTTTACTGCAGTAATACAAAACCTTCTCCTTAAACGGCAGCCTACATTGTGGAATTGTAACATTGACGTCATTGATAAAAGTAATATGACAATGTCGATTAAATTGTCCACCATTTTAGAACACACTTATATTTCTGCTGATAAACAAGATTCAAGCCCAAATCCTATGTCAGATTAACTGTCAACTATTTGTAATCAGAGTCTTGTACCTACAAGTCTAGTTTCTGTTGTAATCAATATTTTATTACAGATATTTCCTTTATTTTTCAACAATTGAACTATAGCTTCATGTTCAAGATTATAAAAAATGAATTTCAAAACAGCAAACCATACATGGCAATATGTTTTACAATAGATCATATTCGTAAAATTGTAGAATTGGAACGAAATGTTAACATCACCAAGATGAAACTCAACACTCTTCTTCCTGACATTTACCTGAATAGAATTTTCCTTATGAGGGCAATTGTGCTGCCAGTGATATTCTTAAGGTAGACAGACTTCCTTACATGTCCGTACTTCACCTTGTTTGTCAAACAACACGTTTGTTATTTGGTATTGCTTTCTCAAACTACACAACAACACCACACTTTTTATTGCTATCAGATTTGTGTAGACCAGTCAGACTGAGTCAGTAAACACAACAATAAAGATCGATGTAAAAAAACCCATCAAGATGGTTTCTTTATTCATACAGTGGATTTGTTCAGATTGGTTCGGTTGAGTGGGAGTGAGTGAGTATTGTTTTACGCCGCTTTTAGCAGTAATTCCAGCAGTATCATGGAGGGTGGCACCAAAAATGGGCTTCACAGTTAATATGATAATATGAACATCAGTATCAACCAAGGACCCAAGATTGACATCCCATCCATCTGTCATTTTGCAATATGAAGAGAGCCAGAATTTACATTCATAGCTGGAATATAGATTTTACTTCAATAAGTGAGTGAGTGAGTGATGATTAGTGAGTGAGTGAGTGGTTTTGTGTTCCTTTTAGCAATATTCCAGCTATATCACGTCAGGGGGCATCAGAAATGGGCATCAAACATTGTGCACACATGGGGAATTGAACCCAGGTCTACTGTGAGCGTGATGAGAAAACACCTTAACCACTCAACTACCCCACTGCTGTTGAGTGGGTAAAACATATTGAAGTACAATATGGTTCTGTTTTAAGGCAGTGTTTGTGTATTGCTTGATGCTTTCACAAACCATCTAGACCAAACAAACCAGTGATTGATATTCTGAACAACAGCCCACACTGCCAGGACACTGACCACCCAATAAAATATGATGTCCAATCCATGATATCCTGATTGAGACCCGCTCTAACCTGAAAGTCCCTGTGGTGATTTTTACAGTCAGATTAGACTGACATTCATAGTCCCAGAAATAAAGTTAACTATCTAAAAATATTTTTAAAATATTAATCTTAATAAAAAACAAATCCAAAAGGAGCCGAGAATATTCCTTCTTTTATGGATCTAGAGCTAAGACAGACTAGACTTGCAAAATCATTCTTGACTTGAGAAGGAGCCATATTTATGCTCTTGGGTCTAGAGACGGCCTACTTTGCATACTGAGATGGCCTTGTTCTCTCTGTTGTGGCCAGACATTCAGTAAATTCCAGCATTAACACTCAAACATGGACATTAAACAATTTACTTAAGCAGAATCTTTGGATTCAGAAACAGGTTTCAGGAAAAAGGCAGTCAAGTGTTAGAGGGACGTATTTGTATAAATTATTAAATGTTTTTGAACAATGGTGGAGCTAAGACGTGACAGTGCTGCTTCTGCAACATGGACTTGATGTTAAACAAGTGATCTTGAACTTTGTCTTGTTCATCAACTGATAAAGAGTGAGTGAGTAAGTGGGAGTGAGGAGGAAGGAAAGGTAAGAGGGAGGATGTTTGTGAAGAGTGTCAATTTATCATTGCTTAAAGGAGTGGTTCACTTCACTGATACATCATGACATTTCACTGGCATTTATATAATTTAACTAGGCATGGACATACATTTGGTCCACGCTGAACCTATCCTAGCCCCATGAGCTATAGCACCCAACAAACTACAGTAAACAGATAACTATATGTCATGTGTGTATAAAGTAGAGCATCTACAACGCTGCTGTTGCAACAGAGGATGTTGTTGGACGTCACTACAGCTCCGATAAGAGATAATCTTTCCTCCCTCCCACTAGCTGAAGGTGTGTGTGTGTGTAAACAGGCAATATGAGACCCCATGGAGTATGGCGTTTATGAGTAGCTGTCATGCCTGCAGTATATGTTGCAAGTGGGTTAAAAGTAGTTTCAGGTAGATATTATCAAGGTCGGGGGTGGCTGGGTTAATAGGGCAATGCCCTGGCACTTTACGCTGTTGGGTTTAGACAAGAAAAAAAATATTTAGATAATTCAGTAGATGACACTCAAACTCTGCTTCAAAACAAAACATGTTTTAGGTGTGAAGACTGAGTCAAATTGCAAATATTTTCTTAAGTAATCTTCTGGATTCAGTCGTCAGAAGAAAGGTCTAAATTTCAACTTTTTATGTAAATTTAGAAACCTTGTGTTATTTCTTTTCTTTTGTATCACTTGAAATAGAACTCACTGTGAGACTGAAATATTGCTGGGAAAACAAGTGATCAAATCATTGAGAAAAAAAGAGGATCAAATGTTTGTGAAAACAAGCTTAAGGATTAAATCAAGTAAGTGATCAAATCAAGTAATTCTTTTCTTGAAACTCTAAGGTAACCTCATAAAAATAAAGAAATGTGGTTCATTCTAAATTTTGAAACGCCTGAAAGAGTCAAAATTCAAAATACGGAACAGAACAGGGCTTAAATAAAACACAACACACACATACCCGAGGTATCAAATGAAACACTGAAAATACATGATGATTGAACATATCAGACACACAATGAAAGGTCTTTTTACTTCCAGATTCAGTTCAACCTTAGTTGTCAGACAGGCCAACAAGGAAGGGGGTTGATGATAATCTTGGTCTACCTACAGTTACAAAGGATCAGCTCAGATTATCTCAATTAACACATTGTTCTATTCATATCTTTAATAATATAAACAATTTTACCAATCAACTTTCAATAATTGAATACAATTTTTTTTCTAATTTATTGCCCATGAACATAATTAACATATTCAGATGTAATATAAGTTTTTGAATAAAGCTGCGCCTAAACTAAAGATAATTAATATAAAGATATTTCAATATTTAAATTCATTTACCAAATAATCCAGAGCAAAAGAACAAGAAACTTCAAAAGGCACCATAAAAGAGGACACAAAAAAAAAGAGATAAACTAAAAAGTTGTCTTCCTGCTAAGATTCGGTTGGGAGACATCTCTAGTTCAGGTGAGCTAAGATCAATGTTTGTTTTAACATCAACAAGACAACACTGTATATACTGATTCTGGAGACGAACTACTAATTCTAGTGAGTGACTAGTTTCACTAATGATTAATGAAGAACAAACATCTTTGGTCAGATTTTCCTCACAACTGTCTAAGACATCTATTATAAATATAGAACCAGGTTAATGTTGTTGACCAATATCTAAATATATCGGTAATTGAGGGACATTAGCGCCAATGGTTTGGTCAGCAGGATGATATGGAATACAGCTGTGTCTATTCATCTGTGTGTCAGTAAGATGCTTCATTCCAGCCAACAGACCTTATCTGAATGATGTCAAAATAGCACTTTGCTGCCATCCAACTGTGTTTGGTTTACATTATATATGGAGTACAAAAGTGGAAGCCATCTTGGAAATCGGTCAAAACATTTTGACATGAAAAATACCTCATGTCATATGCATTTGTTCCAGTTCTCACAGAAAAAACCCAGCCAAACTAAGCAGGGCACTGGAACTTTGTACTTTATCACTGTGACATATCTAGTTCATGTGGCTTTTTTTAAACTTGGTGTTGCACAGTAGAATTGAAAACTAAACTAACTAAAATTGACGTAACAAATTGTGCTATTTGGAAAACTAAACGTGACTCTCTTTGTTAAACTGATGAAAAAAATCAAACAATAAAAAATAGGGGAACTAAACGTGGCTCTCTTTTAAATGCAAATGGGGCAAGTAACTTAACATGATACCTTAATTTTTCTATTATCAACACTATCTAGCTCTATAGCAGCTTAGCTATATGGAACTTCTATTTTGATGAACTATTAAATTCTTATTATCAGTCTATCTACATCCTATTTTAATGAGCTAACAAAACAAATTGTGACGAGCTGTTTCCCACGTGGTCAACAGCACGTGGTCTGAACACGTGGCACGTGAAAAGCCATGCTCCTCGGTTTTCTGCGAAGTATGTCGAGTTTATGCGGTCTGCTCAAACTGTTTGTCTCCAGACCACTGGGTGTACTAAAACCAAAAAATAATGAGAAATGAAAGGAACTAATTTATTCAGAAGAAACTGTACTGGTATTCATAAGCTGAAAAGTAACAAATATTTTAATTTTTTAAAACATGTAACCAAAATGATGTCTTGTATATTTTCCATGGTTAGTTTGCTTCAAAGAACAGATGTCCACACACACTCTGGATCCATATATGTGGGTGATTGTACAGGACAAACAATTGAACATGTACTGTAGGTGTTTGACAAAACAGCTAGTCTCTGAAATGAACATATTTTACAGGAAACAAAACATTCTAAATTAAAATAAAATACAACAAAAAGGAGAACAGAGACTTTCGTCATTCACTGGTTCTAGACAGAAAACTGGTAATTTAGACTTGCAATACACATTCTAGTGTGTAAATCATAGAGTCTTGGAGTGAGTGAGTTTAGGAACTTTATGCCAACACTCAGCAATATTCCAGCTATATGGCTGAAGGCTCGGTCTGTAAACACATAGAGTCTATGACCAGACAATCCAGTGATCAACAGCATGAGCATCTGATTCAGGGTCTGTGCAACAGACTAGGTTGGGAACTGATGATCATGCACTGTCAACACAAGCCAGTGGAATCAAACCTGACCACAACAAGGTCATAAAAATATGTATAGATGGTCCCTGATGGACATGATGTTTCTGGTCCATTGTAGCAGTACTGTATAGCTAGATGGTCCCTGATGGACATGATGTTTCTGGTCCATTGTAGCAGCTGTATAGCTAGATGGTCCCTGATGGACATGATGTTTCTGGTCCATTGTAGCAGTGCTGTATAGCTAGATGGTCCCTGATGGACATGATGTTTCTGGTCCATTGTAGCAGTACTGTATAGCTAGATGGTCCCTGATGGACATGATGTTTCTGGTCCATTGTAGCAGTGCTGTATAGCTAGATGGTCCCTGATGGACATGATGTTTCTGGTCCATTGTAGCAGTGCTGTATAGCTAGATGGTCCCTGATGGACATGATGTTTCTGGTCCATTGTAGCAGTACTGTATAGCTAGATGGTCCCTGATGGACATGATGTTTCTGGTCCATTGTAGCAGTACTGTATAGCTAGATGGTCCCTGATGGACATGATGTTTCTGGTCCATTGTAGCAGTACTGTATGGCTAGATGGTCCCTGATGGACATGATGTTTCTGGTCCATTGTAGCAGTACTGTATGGCTAGATGGTCCCTGATGGACATGATGTTTCTGGTCCATTGTAGCAGTGCTGTATAGCTAGATGGTCCCTGATGGACATGATGTTTCTGGTCCATTGTAGCAGTACTGTATAGCTAGATGTCAACTAACTCATTTCAACTACAGACATGTTAATTTAGTGTAGCATAAAAATTTATTCGCACTTTGATGTAATTTCCGTAGACTTACATGTTAATTTAGTGTAGCATAAATAATTTTCATGAATTTAATTTATATATGTGATGTCATTAGTTAAATAGTGGTTGGAAAATTGAACTGAAATTATGTGTGCAGAGCAGAGATGATTTCAAATTTGACTGTCAAATTTTACAAAGATCCATCCTAAACTCACTTCATGAAAATTATTCATGCTACACTGAAATAACATGTAAGTCTATGGAAATTACGTCAAGTGCCGAATACATTTTGCATGACTCTGTAGTTTCACATTAGTGTCAGATTTTCAGTGTTTCCTATCTGTCTTGTGTTATGACTGAATGTTTCAATGACAGATACATATACTGAGAGAAACAAATAGAGGATCACAGGAAAGTTCAAGTGTTCCTTTAATATTTACCAGTTTTCATCACCAGCTTTGAATAGCGTTGTGGTGATGAAAACTGGAAAATAATGAAGGAACGCTTGACTTTTCTTGTGATCCTTTATTTGTTTCTCTCAGTATATGTAGCTTTAGCTAGTGATAGTTGCTTAGGTACTGCATTAAATATAATGAAAGTGTGAAAGAAAAATATATATTAGGCCAGACCTATTTTATTTCTTGTTTTACAGATTTTTGTCCTCAGAAAACCTAAAGGTAGGAGGGAATTTTTTTTTTCAAAAATCATTAAAGAAAAAACCTACATGAGTTTCCATGTTAACTCTTTTGATTTGTTTATATAGATATCAACTAAAAATAAGTTGAGAGAGTTTAGGTTTCACACTGATTTCAAGAGTATTTCACATATATCACATAAACATTAGGATTTTATTTTTTGAGTGGGGAAAATTTATTTTTATTTTTATTCTTATTCTTGAAAAAATATGACCGGTGGATCCATAAAACAAGAAATAAAATTGGTCTGGCCTTATATTCAAATGTCTGCTTGTATACAAAGCATTCTTCAACAAATGTAATTAATATTGACCACAAAAAAAATTTTTTTAAAAATATATTGACCACAAGTTTTATAATCAATCTCCAGTGTGTTGTGTCATTTTCCAAAACAGTTCATTTCTCTACATATTATTTACTGCTTGAATACAGCTGGAATACTGCTGAGTGTGGCGTTAAACAACCAACCAACCAACGTATATTTAAATTGAAAAGAAGCCCCAGTGAGCTGGGAGTCTGAACCTGAGGAGATCTAGACATGCTTCTCTAACAGAAAGAGCTGGACAGAAGGGAAAGTAATGTGGTTCAGGGACTGTGAGACAGACTATGGTGGTGGAAGCAATCTAGCCTTGCTCCAAGGCTGTACTGAAGGCTAAGCCCATGGATGTATAGTAATTCTATCCTTTAAAGAGGCAAGTCTAGATAAGCGGACAGTTCATCTAAGGACGCCAGTCTGTTAGAGGGATATTTATAGTTTTTAGCAATTATCATTTAAACTATTAATTATTACCTCAGAGACTTGTACAAGTCTAGAAGCAATCCTGATCACTAAGCTGTGATATGGCCTCTGTACTGAAACTGAGGTGCACAGAGAGGTCATTGACCTATCGAGTGTTGCTTGTCCCCATGTCAAAGACCTGGACATTCTGGGTGACATTTGATACTGTCAACTACAGAATCCATACACTTCCAGCCACACCAGAGTACCAATCAATCTCTCTCAATAGGGAGGCAGAATAATGCCTTTTGATAGGTGCTCTTGGTTCGAAGGCATTGTCCATCAGCTATGTATTGCCACAACTTTGTTAGTTCTCGAGACAGCATATTTTCTTAATTGTTGATCCAAATCTAATTTACTAAAGTACTTGTATAACAGTGCCAATGCCAAATTTAATTCACGCCATGCTTACAAAAGCTCCAGGTGCGCACTTGTAAAGTACATTTTTTAAGACCTTTACCAGTGAAACCAGTGATAAATAATCTTTCATACAAGTAAAATGTTCAAACACAATAAAAACTGGTGGACATATTGACACTTAATCTCCCTTACAGAGATCAGTGAGGTAGCCTAGTGGTTAAATCGTCCACTCGTCACGCTGATCATTCCGTCTCTTCACATGACGCCCTCTGTTGTCACGTGAGTCAAAACATGACATGGTCCCTATTACCCGACTGTTCCATCAAACCATCAGTAAACATACATCCAAACATCGCTGATTTGCAGGTTTGGATTTAAAACAGAACTGACCATGCCTTTTATTTGAAGCACATCAGAACGTGAGCTCACCTGCTGTGAGAGTTCTCATATGCCATTGTTCCTATATTCTTCTTGCCTCTGGGCAGAAGGGTAACCTGTTGGTTAAAGCGTTCGCTCGTCACGCGGAAGGTCTGGCTTCGATTCCCCACATGGGTACAATATGTGAAACTGGTGTCCCCACCATGATATTGTTGGAATATTGCTAAAAGCAGCGTAAAAGTAAACTCACTCACTCACACTCCCTTACAGACCACCAGGCATATGTTTATGAAATAGTTTCCAATTTTCTGCCCCGTAAAAGAGCCTTTATATTCAAGGGTTACTGGTACTTACAGAAATAATTTTGTCCAACCTGATAAATATCTCCATTTCAATTACTATACATTAGTCTACTGAACACAACTACTGAACTGAACACAATTTCATATGGACTCCTTCAATTTGTTCATGCTTCTTAAGTTAGTCGACCCGTGAAGATCCGGGTTAGAATTGATCTTCAGTAACCCATGCTTGTCGGAAGAAGGCTGACTAACGGGATTGGGTGGTCAGGCTTGCTGGCTTGGTTGACACATGTCATCGGTTCCCAATTGTGTAGATCGATGCTCATGATGTTGATCACTGGATCGTCTGGTCCAGACTCGATAATTTACAGACCACCGCCATATAGCTTGAATATTGCTGAGTGCGGCATAAAACTAAACTCACTCACTCTAAAGTTAATCTAGTATAATTGTTCCTAAACAATGGGGAGAGTATTGCTTTATGACAGTGCCAATAGCAAAACGTCGCTCATATCAATAATAAAGAAGTTGTACATCCATAAAACTTACCTCATTGTTCATCACAACAACTTCTAAATGCCAGTAAAAGGAGTTATAATAGTTTATAGTTTAGGGTTAACTATACTTCATGTAATATGAAACAAATGGTGTTCTTTAACTACTTTTGGCAAAATAGATTATATTATATAGAACAAACTTTATGGATAACAACTTCTTTTTAATTCGTGAGTGCGACGTTTCGATGCAGATTCTTGTACCGTTGTCAAGCATAATGGGACATGAAGAGGGGGGAAGTGTATATATACTGGATGT